GCCTCGATTAAGTTTGTATTGTATTTTGGGACATGTTGATATAATTGGTTAAGGTCCTGAGAGCCTCGGGTGAATTTAGGAAGGTTAACGGAATGGATTTCGGACAAAAAAAAAACTTGCTGGAATTTTCTGCTGCAGAAGCTGTCTTTGGACAGCAACTGTGTAATCATAGAGCCTACTTCGGGAGCTTATATATCGATATTTATAAGGAATCTGTACATTTTCAAAACATCAAAGTTGTAGTCCTTGCATCCTAGTTTCCAGAAAGCTAAACCATTAATTATTTGGATATTTGTACAGAAAGTTATGCTCGGTCGAATAAAGGTTGGTAAAGCTGTTTTGAAAAATTTCCAGAAATTTCTGATGCGAGGAGGCTACTTTGGAAGCTTATATCTCGAAATCCATAAGGAATCTGAAAATTTGCAAAACATGAAAGTTGTAGCCCTTGCATTCGAGTTTCCAAAGAGTTAAACCATTCATCGTTTCAATATATATACAGAACGTTATGACAGATTTAGTGAAGGTTAGTACTACCTTTTGTTTTGGCTGGAAATAATGAGCAAGTCACCTTTCATAGATGCGACTTGCCTGGAAAGAAGTTTATATTCGGGAGTTAGTCATTTTTATTCATTCTTGATGATTTTAGAGCTCGGAAAAAGAGATTTTCAACAGATTTTTCAAGGTAAAACATTGGGGTAAGTGTTCTATATCCGAAAGTGATTATATTTCATAAATTCATGGTTATATTCATCGTTTAATTCAGATTTAAATGGAAGAAATTGGAATTTTTGCAAAAATCTTCAAAAATAAAAATTTAAGATTTGGTGGTCGAGTTGTTGTCGAATTTTAGTAATTTTGGTATGGTTGAACTCATAGTTGAATGGGTTGTCGGATTTTGTGAGTTTCGTCGGATTTCGAGCCGTGGGCCCGGGGGTCGGGTTTGGCCAATTTCGGGATTTTGAGTTTAATTTGATAATTTTCGTGTGGGCTTTGTCCCTTTGGCATGTATTAATGATATGATTTTGATTCGGGATGATTTGAGGCCGAATCGAGCGACAAGAGCATCGCGGTGTAGATTTCCGTCCGGTTTGAGGTATGTAATGATTGCAAATGCTGTCCTGAGGGTATGAAACCCCGTATTTCACATTGTTTCACTACTTTGAGGTAACACACAAGCTAGATGACGAGCGTGAGAGCGTGCACCATTGGGGATTGTGACTTGGTCCGTCCCGTACGACTATTAAGTCGTGTATTTGATTGAAAACTATTTGTTACTATTGTGTTTTGGAAAGTATTATTATGTTTTGAGCTGAATGCCATATTTGGGCCTCATGCCAACTGTTTGGACCCTTAGGGGCTTTTTACTACTATTCCTCACTATTATTGAATGTAAAAAAATTTCTACCATGTATTGTAAATTGATATTTGCTGTTAGGGTTATGTAATTTTTTTGTATCTTGCACAATTATGTTTTTTGCCCTTTATTTTTCTCCTATTTAATCTTTTTCCGCGCAAGCTCCTTCTTTCACATAATAAACACGTAATGAGCATATTTTATATAAAAAACGGTTTGAACTCCCACAAATCACACAAGAAATATACGCAAATTCATTCAATACATGCACTTTTCATCCTTTATTAGTAATGATAAATGAAACTAGTGACGGTGGTACTTGTTGATTATGGTGGTTGGCTATGGCGATGGTTGGTGGTGGAAGGGGCTATTGACGGTGGTAGTTGGTTGTGGTTGAGGTGATTAGCTAATGGTGGTTAGTGGTCGTGGCTGGCAATGTCAGTGGTTGCGCGATGAAGATTGATCGGGCAGGTGGTTGGTAGTAGTTGTTGGCGGCAAAGATGATTTGCAACAGTGGAACTTGTAGTGGTATAAACTAGCAATGAAGGTGGTTGGTATGGTCAGAGGCAGATCTAGGATTTGAAGGTTGCGGGTGCAACTATATATTATCCATTAGCCACAAATATCGAATAGTAAAAATAGATCAATTAAGTTAGTATTTAATTAATCCAATTAAGTTTTTTATTCACGAATGGCCAAATAAGTTTACTTTTAGTTCAACTTTTTTTACACTTAGTTTAATTATATTCTAGAATAAAATATAAATTTTTTTTGATGAAAGTTGGCTCCAATTAAAAAAAAAATTCTTAAGTAGTAAATTTCGAACCTGATTGAGCTCTTCTTGGAATTTTACCAGTTTCTGTTCAAGTTGTGACACATTTTCATTAGGAACCCCAATACCCTGGCCATCAGTGGCCTATACCCGTTCAGTTGTGTTCTTTTTCCTGATGTTGTTTAAATCATCCATTTTACCTTTGTTCTTGCCTTTAATGGGATTAAGAGGAGGAGTGGGTGGAAGGCCCCTAGATCTTGTGAAACAAGATGATGATACCAGAGTGCACGAACTAACCTTTGGGGGGGGGGGATAATAAAAAAAAAACAAAAGGTAATCAAGTCAGTGAGGGTTATAAAAAATATTGCAATATTTAAACATATAGTGCAGGAATGTAAATCGTGTCCTAATTTGGGAACCTCTTTGTGCCCGAGGTAGGCCTAGCGACAAATTGATTTGTAGAACTTAAAATGCTAAATGCCTCATTTTATTGATAAAAATATACGAATCATTCTTGTGTTTGATTTGATTAATTGATTGGGTTAATTTTTTCGATTTAATTGTCGAGTTATGAGACAATTATTTTCAAAGCAAAAGTTTTAAATTTTCAGTCTATGAGAATCAATTCTAAACCTATATTAGTAAGGATTTTATTTTTTCAAAAGTCAATAAATGATACAGCTCAAATTATAATCCAATACATAAATTAATGTTGTCAGTGGCGGAGGCAGGATCTCCATGAAGGGGGTTCAAATTTTTTTTTTTTGTATCTAGTGAGAATTGAACTCATGACCCTATGTAGGTTTTGAACCTCCTTTACCACTAAACTACACTTTTGGATTGTGTTAAGGGGGTTCAAAACTTAATATATAAAGGTAAAAAATAGATTTTGCCTTATATATACAGTGTATTTTTTCGGCGAAGGGGGTTCGGGTGAATCCCCTTGCGCCCCCCTAAATCCGCCCCTGAATGTTGTATCATCAAAAAAATATAAGCTACATATTATCTAGAATCATTTAAAATTATGCATCAAACGAAATTGCTCATAAAATAAGGTATAATTCAAGATAACAAAATGAAGGCTAATGTAAGAAAATTTAAAAAAGATAAAAGATAGAGAAATTTAGTATCAAATAACAAAAGGGGAAAGAGGAAAGAGGAAAGAGGAAAAAGAAAGAGGAGGAAAAGAAAAGGAAGAAGAGGTAAGGGCCCAAGGCCCAACGGAGAATAAATAAAGAAAACTGGGACTAATAAGCAGGAAAAAAAAATAAAAGAAAGAAAAGCTGTTGCGCGGACTCGAACCTTAACCCGCGAAGCCAAGGAGAGACTTCAAAACCGACGCTAAAGCATGGCACTCACATGCTATTTTTGTATTCCAGGTGCCACTTTAAATATATAATTTTTTCATAGATATCAACTTACTTACTAAGAATTTTTGCCCGAAGCGCGTGGGTGACGTGCCACCCCAACCCTATAAGGAGATCCGCCCCTGGGTATGGTAATAGTTGTGTGATTATAACGAAGAGAATAGTGGCAAATAATTCATATTCAAATGAATTTAAGTGAACATGTTAATGATTTTAAACTCTATATAAAATTTGATATGAAACTATTATCTTCTTACTGATAATACCATGACCTTCCCTGACATGAAGAAATTCCAGAAAATGATGTACTTTTAGTTCGTATATATACATCTCTTCATTACTTCCCTTAAATCAATTCCTTCCTGCCTTTAATTTGTTGTCCAACTGAAAAAGGAATCAATACGGTCAACAACTTGCCCTGTCTCTTAATTTTCTGCAAATGCTGCATCTTGGAACAGTAAATGCTTCGGACCATTCCTGCTATAATAGGGAGCGGGAACCCAATTGTGGTTTTTTTGGACTCAAAATATATAAATAGGTGATAAAAAAGGTGACATTTTTATATATAGTGCCACATTACTTGGCGCTATACATTAATGTTAACTGTGCCGTTAATGTATAGCGCCAAGTGTTGTGGCACTATACTGAAAAAGCTGACACGCCTAGGTATAGCGCCAAGTATTGTGGCACTATACTGAAAAAGCTGACACGTCCAGGTATAGCGCCAGGTATACATAAATTTTTAAAATAGAACGTCTTCTTCATTGTCGTTCTGTTCTCTTCCTCAATATTTTACTCCTCTTTCTTCTTGGTCCCCCCATATCCGCTGCCCATGATTTAAAAAAAAAAAAAATTCTAGGTCCCCCCGTCACATAAAAGTTGTAGAACGTAGGTCCCACATTCGAGTAGAGTTTCCTATTATTGTTGATTCACACTTTCGAAGTCAAAATTTCAATCTATTTGCTTTCCGAAAATTCTAAATCGAGGTATTTCGGTTTATTTTAAGTTGAAACTTTTATAATAATGCATATTATTTGATTTGTATGTGTTCTATTTCGGTTTGTGTTTTTTTTTTCCGAAACTAGCATGTTAAATTTATCCGGATTTAATATTAGTGTTTTATAAAAAAATATCCTGATTTATATATATGTGTTTTCATGCCGTTTTGTGTTTTATTTGCAATTAAATTTATTTGTTGTTTATGTTTAGTTTAGATTATTTTTTAGCGTAGTAAACTCTAGACCTTTTTAGCGTAGTAAAACGTAGATCCTTTTAGCGTAGTATAATTTAGAGCCTTGTAGCGTAGTAATGTGTAGTATTTTAGCTTAGAATTCCTTTTGGTTAAGTATCTTATACTGGTAGTTGAAAACGCAAACTTTGTACAATTAAGTTAATAATTGTATCAAGACACATAATTAGTAATTTGTACAATTAAGTTATTAAAAAATATGAATTTAAATTATAAAAAAAANTGACTATACATCCCGGCCCTCAGACGTAGGATCTATTAGCCCTATAGCCCCAGCATAGATCGGAGTATATATGGGACGGACAATTGCTTACACAGACTTTCCAGGCCAGGAGAGTGGATCTATTGTGGGAGTTTTTGAGTCCTTCCCGTGTTCTACATCCCAGCGTGGTCCATTACCTGGAGGAGATGGGATTATATAGGATTATTAGGATTGGCCGGATACAACTCTACTATGCTTTGATCACGACCTTGATTGTGCGGTGGCGACCGAAGACGCACACTTTCCATTTGCCCATTAGCGAGGCCACCATCACACTCCAGGACGCTGAGATTTTATATGGCCTGTCCGCTGATGACTTGCTAGTTTTACTGCCTGCGACCATAAGATATTATTCGCGGCAGGCATATTGGGATATGTTGCACATGCTCACGGGTTTCATGCCGGAGGACAAGGAGGTAGCGTCTGGATCCAGTCGTATACAGTTGGTCCCCATTAGAGACCACATGGTGCAGATCCACCATACTATCATCGACGAGTTAGCGAAGGTGGATGTACAACAATATACGAGGCTGTTGTTGCTCCTTTTATTTGGGGGGTTTTTGTTTCCGAACACTTCGGGGAACCTAGTGAGCCTACGTTTTCTGCATCATATTGTCCGGTTCAAGGATACAACCATCTACAGCTGGGGTGGTGCTATCATCTCATATCTGTACAGGCAGATGTGTCGGGCTTGCATCGGCACATAAAGAGACGTTGGTGGCTTTCTGCCGCTTCTACAGGTGACAACATATTCAAATAATATGCCCATTAGTTACAATTCTACCTAGTTATAGTTAATCTTATACTTTACGTCAACTTTGTATGTTAAGTTTGGGTCTGGGAGCGATTTCTGCAGTTTCGGCCACCTCTACCACAACTACCGGCTTATGTAGAATTTCCGCAACTCCCTCTAGCCTGTAGGTGGGTTATGCGTCGTACTGTTGCACGAGAGTATGATGCCCATCATAATCTCCCCCTCTGCAGGGATGTGTTAGATCTGCTGCAGGATGCACAGGTGAATATCTAACTAAACTTACCTGTTATAGATTAACTTAGTGTTGCGCATACTAACGGTTTGTGTTCTTATTTGATAGTTCATTTGAACGCCGTACATCGATGAGATGATAGGTACCCTGCCAGCGTATTGCACGTTCAGCCGACATATTTGGAGGGCTTCTGTCCCGCTCATATGCCTCGATATTGTCGAGCATCATGCCTCCGAGCGGGTATTTCGTCAGTTTGGCCTGCCGCAGCCTATATCGACTCTGCCTACATGGCATGCTTTACATTATGAGAGGGATGATCGGTCCAGGGCGGACGACACATTGATGGCATGGCTTAACGAGCAGTTGGGTATTTGGGACAGGCGAGGGGACTTGACCCCACCTCCGCAGCACTTTCCTATTTAACGTTATATGGCATGGTACCACACTGTTTCCCTACTTTTTATCGGGAACCCAGTTCATCAGGCACACGGTCGGTACGTCCCATACACTGGGAGACACGAGGCCTTGGTATGTTTTCTATTATTATTAATTATATACCTGTAATTTAGTGCCAAATATGTAGTTTATATTTTTTACTTTGTGCAGGCGATTGGATTGCATACCGTCTATCATATGGGGCAGCAGATGCAGAGTCATGTCCACGATCCTGTGGCCATGTAGGAGTATAGTCGTAGATTCATAGATGTGGCTGGCCAGACACTACAGCAAGCCCTATCGGATCAGAGTTTGGCACACGAGGCTGATTATATGGACCCAGCACAGTACCATCGAGGTCGTGGTATCCCACGAGCTGGTATGCTTGACGAGCTGGTGGTGCTGGACGACGTGGTCATGGGTGGAGAGGATATGGTCCCCAGCAAGGGGGTGTTGAGGCTCCTGCTGATGATGTTGCTGCTGATATGGTAGGTGGCATGCATGAGACGGACATGCCGTCTTACAGCCTTGGAATTTATCGCACTCCAGTGCCATCGCAGGTGACCCCATCAGGTCAATTATTGATCACGGGCTCGGATATTCAAGGAATGGATTGGGGTAGATACTTCNTACACTAAACACATACATGCCAATGTTTAGCCCCGGTTGCCATTTATTCTCCGCTCCAACCACTTATATCGTTCTTCCAGTTGTTCTTTTTCTTCTTCTACCTCTTTCAGTTTAGCCTTCACCTGTTCCAGTTTATTTTTTATTTTTATGTTTCTTTTGTGCTTTACAATTCCATTGTGTTTTCCATTTTTCTTCTCCCACCTCCTTCAGTTTCGCCCTCAAGTCTGCAATAATTCTATTGCTTTCTTTTTCATGTTCTCGTTGTCTTAAACACATATTATGAAGAAATTGTAGTTGTTCTTTGTAACATTCCTGATAACATGGTTCATCAACCCATTCCTCAAAATCACAAATAGGTTCGCCGGGAACCTTGTAAAACTGGTTCATACAGTGCCAGTAGCGACGTCCAACTTCACCACCGTCCCAACAATTTTGCATCAAACATGCTTTTCCACAGTTGCACTTTGGTGGACGAAGAGGTTGAGCCATTTGTGAAATATTTGCTTTTAGTAAAAAAAACCTTACTTTTAATGAAATATTTGCTTTTAGTAAAGTTTGAGCACACAAAATAACTACAATGAGCCCATTATTTATAGGCGAGACAACACACACATAACGTACTATCTAATGACGCTATATTTTGCGTGTTAAATATCATAATGTTGATAAGATAACTTTATGTCAGCTGGTCAGCTTTTTCAGTTCGACAAGATAACACACACATAACGTACTATCTAATGGCACTATATTTTGCGTGTTAAATATCATGATGTTGACAAGACAACTTTATGTCAGCTGGTCAGCTTTTTCAGTTCGACAAGACAACACACACATAATAAATATACAGATAATTTTATTAAATTATTATTTAAATAGGTAAAATGGGAAAGTACAAATCATAGTTAACAAGCATAATTTTATTTCATAAATCTTGCAATATAGACATAACAACTAATTATTACAACATCAACTCATGGGTAGTTAGGTACACTAGAAGAACACCCACCTCGAGCTTGATTATTGTTGCCACCCAAAGGACATTTTCTACGGTCGTGTCCTGTTTGCGAGCATATACCACATTTGAGCGCATAAACGGTGTCACTAACATCCATTTGGTTCCGTATACGCGTTCTCTTCTGCACCTGTTTTTTACGCAAATAGGACTTGTTACATACCATTTTAAATGGTTCCGGAGGCCAATAATACTCAGCACCCACTGGCTGCAACTGACTACTATATGTGTTTAGGTACTTGGAAATACTATATTGTTGATCAACATAGTTGGTCTTCGCATAACCAACACGTTGAAAACACTTGATGGCATGTGAGCAAGGCATGTGGTAGATGGACCATTTCCCACAGGAGCATAACCTTGCAGATTCATTTATAGTATGTACATTAGTACCCCAATTATTATGGATAGTGGTGCGAACTTTAAAAATACCTCTTTCGTTATCATACTGCAAAAATGAATGCAAATGTGCTCGCCGTCTATATTTCTCAAATCTCTTCATAGGCACTGGCATAAATACCCCTCTCCATCAATTTCGTTGCAGCTGCAGACCGTTCAACAAACCTCTCCGCCATCTGCTTGAACGACATCCGCACCATGGTTGTGACGGGCAATCCTCTTGCCGACTTCAATAACCCGTTGAAGGACTCTGACACGTTTGTAGTAAGAATTCCCCATCGTCTGCCACCATCCGCATGCAACGTCCACTTTTCAGGGTCATGTCGCATTAACCAACGATAGGCTGCCTCGTCTTCTTGCCTGATAGAATCCATATGCCTCTGGAATTTATGCTATTGGTGGTGTGTTACTACCATCCACATCAAATCATGTAGATCCTTGTTGGGATGTGCCTTCTGGAAATTGGCCTTCAAGTGCCTCACACAGTAACGGTGGTATGCATAAGGTTCTTGCCATGCAGGTAAGTTCTCCACAGAACTTAATATACCACCGTGTCGATCAGATATTAGACAAATACCTGAACGCTATTTGACAACATGCTCTTTCAGGTGGTTCAAATATGGCGTCCACGTCTCTGTGCTTTCATTGGCACAAATAGCAAAAGCTAGAGGAAATATCTGTCCATTAGCATCCACTGCCACGGCTATCAATAGCTTGATATCATACTTTCCATAGACATGAGTTCCTTCTATGGATATTACGGGCCGGCAATGCGAAAAACCATCAATTGCTGGCTTAAACACCCAGAACACGTAATTGAATATGTATTCTGGTGTTCCCGGACTCTGCTCAAGCTTTCATTCAACAACTGTCCCGGGGTTAAAGTGCTGCAGTGCAGCCATGTACTTTGGCAGAGATGCAAATGACTTATCCCAATTACCGTAGACAATTTCAAACGCTCGTTTGCGCCCGANTGAGAAATGCCTTTCTTTTCGTAATGTATGGCCATATTCCTGGAGGACTGATGTAATGCACTCTTTGATTGTGTACCTTATGGACGCTTCGAGGTGCGGAATAAGTACAAGAGAAATCAAGTCAATATCCAAGTTGAAGTAATTCCCGTTGAATGTGTCCATTTCGCATGTGTGGGTGGGAATGTATTTACCCACTTTCCACATACCTATCTTCTTCTTGGTCGCACGCAACATCCAATTACATGGCCAAAACCACATGCGGCAAACAACCTTGTATACTATCAGACTTGACTTCTGTACCTGCATCTCACGACACTCTTTTACGTTGTGCATTTTACTATCCCTGCTTAAGCGCGCTTTATCAGGAAAAAGCATCCCCTTTGCAAGCACCATTGGTCTAGACTCATCCCACATTGCTGTCCGGATTTCATCAAAATCCCTTGTGAGAGATTCCACATCCTGCACAGTTGGCAAGTTATCAATGTAAGGAATCTCTTTTGAATGAAACGACACTTCGGACTCATACACTCTTCATCTAGGAGGGTCTCTCTTCATATCAGGTCCTTCCTCCTCATCCTGCTCATCACCATCCTCACAAGGAAAGGGTGTCTCATCTCCGAATTCATCGGCATTGTTATCGTAATTACTGTTTTGTTCCTCACTTTGTGCATCTGCCAGATCCCGATGTAATATGTCTTTTTTGGTCAATTGAGTGAGTACGGGTGGTTCAACTTGCTCGTTTTCACTGTACAACCAACAAAAATATAAGCTACTGAATTAATAAATACTTTCCATATGGCTATATCACTTCACTTACAAGTCGTAATGTGATGAAATTCCATGATGGACGTTTTCAATTAGGTGATGACTACCGGATGGGTCACTTGTAAAATTCATATACGGCCGGTACCCCCTATTAAATATATGAGCGTTAATACAAATTCAATACGCCAAAAATATACATAATTAACACAAATGAAAATTGAAGTTTACCACTCGTTTTGTGAATTATGGAAAGCAGGGTATAAATTATTTTCTCGCTGCTCATTCGCCGCAAGGAAAACTCTTTCATCCGAGACCTGTCCGGCAAAAACTGCTCCAAAATAACCACTCGATGACTGGGGGTTATCTCTACTATGCACAACCTTGTTTTTTGGAACGTCTTCGACCTTCACATACATCTCCAACATTGTGATTACAAGAAATTCCTGGCATTTGTCCGGAGTCCTCAGAAAATCACTCAAAGTTTCATCATCGTCGATGTTAAACTCCGAGTAAAACGCAACCCCCTGCGGAGTGACGGAATACGGATATCTTCCGGTTACTTTAAGTATCACTGAACGTTTCCTCACACTCATTTTTTTTGCATAACAACGATATCAATTTATCGTACTACATTGTAAGTGGCAATTTAACATGACACTAAGCAGGTAAACTGTAGCCCACGGAGTTATTCTCCATCACAACCTCAACCCCCAATATAATGAAACTCTTATTCTATGCTCTTCAGACATAATAAAAAAATGCTGGAGAATTTAACAACAATAAACGTTTCAACAAGAGTTAAAATTTTTTTGAATGAATTTCTATACAATCCTAACCTCTTTATATAGGGAATGACTAGCCAAATTATATATATGTATATATATATATATATATAGTGCCCAAAAAGTTGGCACTATACACTTTTGAATCATTGAAGCCAGGAATTATTGGTAGGGCTAAGGAAAAAGGAATATAGCGCCAAAATACCAGGCGCTATATTTAAAAATTTATGTATAGCGCCAGGTATTTTGGCGCTATACCTGGGCGTGTCAGCTTTTTCAGTATAGTGCCACAATACTTGGCGCTATACATTGACGGCACAGTTAACGTTAATGTATAGCGCCAAGTATTGTGGCACTATATATAAAAATGTCATTTTTTTTATCACATATTTATGTATTTTGAGTCCAAAAGAACCACAATTGGGTTCCGGAGCCCTATAATAGTCCTATGACTGACTCATCTTTCAGTTATCTATTTATCATTTCTTTTTTACATGTCAACCGTAAGATAAAAATATCGTCCTGCGACTACATTAAATGCAAGACACTTGAAAGATTGGGACACGCTCTTAGACAATGTACTATCAAAAAGACAAACTTTTAAAATTTGTGTTTTGTAGTAATTCAAAAAGAAATATATTATAATAATCTATAAAATTTGCGACTATAAATTATCTCATAAAGGATAAAATGAGAAATTTAAAGCTAAATTATTTTTAAATATTAAAATATATTATTATTTTTGGGATAGAATAAAAAGAAATTAAACTGCATTAAATTAATTGGGATAGAGTATGTATATTGCTTTAATAGCATTAGCTTCATGTACTTATCAACGCTTGATGAGATGCCTTGTGTTCATAAGATAGTTATCAGTGTAAATAGTGATCTAACAAAATCATCCTGATATAGTAATTGAATTTGTAATGACCCAACCGATCGTTTTGAGAGTTGTAGCCCTGTTCCCCCATTTACTGCTCATTTTGTGCTTT